CTAATCTTGTTCAACAACGAAATGTTGGTTCTCATCTTCCAACAATTAATGATGTGAATGAAGATGAAGTTTGTTAATGAATTAATCTTTCTTTTGAATTAAGAATTTTACTTTTCGATTTTTTTTAGGATGAAAATACAACTACTATAAATTGTCCTGTATCTGTTTTATCTCGTATTAGTTCATTAACGACGTGTTTGCTTTTATTTTAGCGTAATAATAGTATTTCTAGTGTTTCAACTGAGAAAATTCAAATTATCATTTAATTTAATAAATAATTTGTTTTGATTTCAATAAAGATAGGTATAAAAATATATTGTTTTTTTTGTTGATATGACCTAAAGAATTTGAATTAATATTTCTAAAAGAATATTTCCCAAGAAATTCTACTGATAAGTATGCACATGTTCATCGTAACGAAGAACATGTATGTATTGAGTTAAATTATTTCATTTTGCCTTATCAATGTTGACTTGAATGATTACTCAATGAGTTTGTTCATTTATGTTCATAGTTTTCGTTTGATTCTGCTCGATAGGAAAAATTGTTTACATCAATAATTATAAAAGTAATATTTTTTTGATAGTTGTGTGGTGTTTTGTCTACTGTTCATCATCAATTTCGTTTGTACATATTTTGATATAGCAAGCTTTTGTCCATCTTGAATACATAAAAAAATGTTTCACAATATCATTTGAATTGTTTTTCTGCAATATCTGATTTCAATATATTAAACTCAACAAGTGTCTCTACGGGATTTAATGAGAGACTATTGCATCGTTTTATTTCAATGCATTGTAGTACACTAAAAGTTCATTCATGTTCATTAGATCCAATTGGTGAAATTGTTAAAACTTGATATAACTTAAATCATCCAGGTATTGCATATCGAGTGGGATTTTGTACATAGTATTTTATACTATCTATTTAAATAATTTTTCGATATGTTGACGATCAAACAATACTTTTGACATAGTTATATAATCTTCTGTTTTTTTAAATATATTTTTCTTCCAAAGAAAATTAATGATTTACTTAAAAAAAGTTCAAAAAAAAAATTTCACTTTTACATGACCAGCCTGTCTCACAAAAAGAAGCAAGAAAAGTTTAGGTGGAGGAAATTACGCTGATGCTCTATTCAAATCGTATGGTCTGTTTATATTATTTAATAAATGATTTGAAGTTATAATACGTTAATTTCAAATATGTAATAAGTATCTCATAGATATATAAAAACTATATCTATAATTAGTCTTCTTATCATATTAAGAGTCGTTTTTTAAATGTAATTGACAAATAGTATGCATGTGCAGAACGAAAAAGCTTTGAACAAATAAATATATCTCTTAAGTAAATGAATATAAATTAATTCTACAGAATGTAACAGCCTCGCTCTTCTTAATATTATTCAATGAAAATTATTGTGAATTTTTTTCAAAGAAAATACAAAATTTAGTCAGATTTTTTTCAATGAATTTTCAAACTCTCTTATTTTTTATCAGACATCATTATCTCGTTTATCTAATGACTAATTTTGTATTAAACCAATAAGGAAAACAAAAAATAAAAGATTCGTACAATAAGAATAAGTTATTAATTAAACCTCAATCCAACGAAAACTTATAGAACTCAATACCATATAAAAAGCAAGAAACAACTAGTATTTGTGTTTCACTATTTTAATTTATGTTTATGAAAGGACATGAATAAAAATTATTTTTTCAAATATATGTGATATATTTATTTATGGCATATGTCACAATTGATATGGAAATTTCAGTTAAGATTGGAAAGCGCGAAAACATAGACAGAAATTCTCTTAGAACAAAATTTTTAATTGGGATAAAGCTTTACAAATTAGATGAAGTTATTAGCTTAGCCAGGACTTCACAAAAGGAAGTTAAATAAGGCTTCGTAAAAAAAATAGTTTAATCTTTTCTCACGATCTTTTTACTGGCGTATCAGAAAGGTCCGGTGGAAAATTCAACCGGAATAATTGTGCATTTTATATCATCGATTATAGTATTTAGAAAATAAATTCTGTCTTTGATTTGATTAGTGCTTACAACAATTTCTTACAGTTTGATATCATAATTATTAAAAAAACAATATGTGATGCTATGCACCCTTGCTTGTAAAAGCCTCTACCACACGCTCCTGCTAGTCTAGAAATAAATACTATTAAAACATTCTGTTTTTTATATCATTAATCGTTCAAGGTCTCAATATCCTCATTATCAAAAAAAAAGGTAAAAGATTAATACTCATCCTAGAAAAGAAACTACCTGCACATTATAAAAAAAAAACATTTGTTTTTCAGTCAAATTTAATCAATCATTCAATATCAACATGCTCCCATTATTAAACAAAAAAGCATTGAAAATAAAATTAATACTCATTGTTGAGAAAAAAACTACCTGCACATTGTAAAAAAAAGATATTTATTTTTTAGTCAAATTTGGCCAATCAATCAGTGTGCACATGTCCGCATTGTTAGATATATGTTTTTGTTTTTGGAGATATATTACGAGAGGAGAAATATTGTTGATTAGCAACCTTGGATAAAAATGTGTCTTTTTGTTTTAATCGAAGCAAGAAAACGACAAGTGAGAGAAAAGTAATGAGGCATAAAATCAACATCGACGTGAGTAACGGCAGCTCTATTTTTTTACTCAAGTGAATATATATGTTTACCTAAAACACCAAGGTAAGCTATCCTATTGATAAGTCACCGTTCTAGCATTCATTGTATATCTATTCATTCACTGCATATCTGTGCATGTGTTTACGCCAACCAGTTATATAAAACAACAAGCAAAAAACAAGGACAAAACACATTTCAATAACAGTTCTAAAATGGCTAATAGTACGAATACAAATCCTGCAAATGTGCTCAACACATACAACACCAATATAACTGACAGCGATAAAAAGAGAAATGAAGATGTAGAAACACAACAGAATGCTGCTTCAATTATTGTTCACGATACAAAGAAACAAGTACCAACATCATTGAATGATTTCTCTATAGTGAAAGATAACGCAAAAAATCTTACCAGTTTTCAACGAAAAAAAGCCGAATACTTCTTCAATGTTAATCTCGGTATGTTAGTTTTTATGAACGAAATAATAGTCATTGAAGTGTACTTTTAAAGACTGATTAGATAAAAAAAATTCGAAATTATTATTTATAATTGTATACATTTTTTATTTAAAAAACAATTATTTTAGACAATGAAAACAAGAAATTTGTAACTTGGAACGATGTTGAGCATTATTTATTGGTAAGAAAATAATAAAGAAAATATTTCGCGTAATTCTGTTGTTTTCGTTTGTAGTTTCATGTCGTGGCTGCAGGAAAAAAGGGTGCAGACAACGGAGAATTAGAGGCACGATTAAGTCAAACTGCACGAGCTCTTTGGGAACATATTCATGATCAAGTTCCGTTGTCCGATGGAAAACGAGACCGATTATCTTTAGATCAATTTCTTGATACATGGGCTAGTCTCATTGATTATATTGTGAAACATGGTGCATTGCCAGGTCTAATTCAAAATTTAGTTAATCTTGGATTCGAGTTATATTCAACAACAGCTGGTCACGATAAGTCACCTACAATTCCTGCATCAGCTTTTGAGCAGCTCTTTGAAAAAATGAATCTCGGTCNCTCGGTCGTTCCTATGCGCTGATTGCATATAAATTTCTTACTGAAGTAAGAATTATTTATTCCTAGTATTTCACACTTTGTTTACTTTTGTATATTTCCTATCTAGAACGGTACCAAACCATTGGATGCAGATAAAATTAATTCAATTATACGAGCACTGCTCACATCCTCAGATGATGGGCATGACTCGCATTTTCTCTTGCCAGGATTCTTCAAAATAGTATGGGATAAGAGCAATGAAAGAGACGGCGTAATTCAGTCGCCACCACCAGGTCAAGGTAAAACATACGGAAGCTATTTCTAGTTTTACATGTTTTTGAGTATGAAAAAGCTTCCGCAGAGATTTTTAATTTTCTTCAATAGCTTCTCAAGAGTTCTTATTAAATTGTTCCTTTCAAAGTATCTACAGTGAGTTCACTGTCAACTGACAAAGAATATATTCGAGAAATATACACAAGCTAAACGAAGTGTGAAATACTAGGAATAAATAATTCTTACTTCAGTAAGAAATTTATATGCC